CACCCTCTAAAGGATTCCCTGAAAATATTTAAAGGTGAAAAGAACCCTCCCTTCTTCCCCTTCTTCCCATCCTGCCTCCTCCTCCTCCCCCTTCGCCTTCTCGCTCCTCCTCCTCCTCCTTCCCCTTCTTCTCATCCTCCTCCTCTCCCTTCCTCTTATTTTCCATCCTCCTCCTCCTCCTCCTCCCCATCTTCTTCCCATCCTCCTCCTCCTCCTCTCCCTTCCTCTTCCCATCCTCCTCCTCCTCCTCCTCCTCTCCCTTCCTCTTATCCCCATCCTCCTCCTCCTCCTCCTACCGTTTCGATTTTGATATAAACGCCGATCAGACCCCCCCCCTCCTCCCTCTCTCTCCCCATCCCCACCCCAACTCTTACCCCCGCGCCTTCCTTTGGTTTAATTGGATTTCATGTGATTCCTCGTGATTAGAGATCTCATGCCTAAAGGTCGGGCTTGAGGGTGGAGGGAGGGGGGGGGGGTGATAGAGGTCGCTTTTCCAAATAGTCTTTATAAGAAAAGAAAGGAAATGTGTTAATTCTCCTTACGAAAATAAATCAATGGAATGGTGATGAATAACAGATAATTTGCATTTGCAGCTAGACCTAAGTGCCTGTTAAGAACAAAATTATTTCTGTTTCCCTGGCTGGTGTTTGAATGCACAAAAGAAAAAATATATTTGGATAATATGATATGGAGAGAGAGAGAGAGAGAGAGAGAGAGAGAGAGAGAGAGAGAGAGAGAGAGAAGAGAGAGAGAGAGAGTGAGAGAGAGTGAGAGAGGAGAGAGAGAGAGAGAGAGAGAGAGAGAGAGAGAGAGAAGAGAGAGAGAGAGAGAGAGAGAGAGAGAGAGAGAGAGAGAGTGAGAGAGAGAGAGAGAGAGAGAGAGAGAGAGAGAGAGAGAGGAGAGAAGAGAGAGAGAGAGGAGAGAGAGAGAGAGAGAAGTGAGAGAGAGAGAGAGAGAGAGAGAGAGAGAGAGAGAGAGAGAGAGAGAGAGAAGAGAGGAGAGAGAGAGAGAGAGAGAGAGAGAGAGAGAGAGCATACATACATGTAGACAGACAGAAATAGATAGATAGATAATGGAGAGTGAGAGAGAGAGAGAGCATACGTACATGCAGACAGACAGAGAGAGAGAGAGAGAGAGAGATCTGACTGGATTCGAAGACCCAGCGCCACCGCCTCAGCTGCGTCACGAGCATTGCCAAGAAGCTGACGGGTTTATTTCCTCAGTGTATTGAATTCCGAAAACAAAGTCGATCTCCTTTCCTGCCTCTGCATCGAGCTGTGTGTCCCGGCCTTATGTAGAGGCGCAAAAACTGGGACGAGGGGATGCGTGTAGGTGGGCTGGTATGTGTGCGTGTGTGTTGAGGCGGGGTGGAGGGCATGTGAGGGCGTTACGCTGGTGCGTATGTGTGTGTGGTGTGTGTATTTGCATGTGTGTGTGTGTTTATATATATATATATATATATATATATATAATATATATATATATATATATATATATATATATATATATATATATATATATATATATATATATATATATATATATATTTATACATGTATGACAGTCTGTGTGCGTCTAGCCTTCTAACGTCGGCAATCCGCTCCACAAAGCTCATTTAATTTGCCTGGAAGCTTGCGACTTCGATTCTCGTCTGTTTGCGTTTTCTGATATCTGCTTTATACCAGATCTGATTGTTTATTACTTTCATGTTCATATCATATTTTCAGCAATTTTCCCTTCTTCTCTTTAGTTCTCTCAGTACTTTATCATTATTATTATTCCTATTTTTCCTTCTTGCCCAGCCATATATATATATATATATATATATATATATATATATATATAATATATATATATATATATATATATATATATATATATTTTATGATGTTTATCTTTGTGTTTTTTTTCTGTTTGTTTGTTTGATTTTTTTACGCAGAAGTTTTGTTGATACCAGCTGTCATTTATCTGTTTATATATCCATCTATTTACATCTATTCATTTACATCATAACGTTACGTAAATCAACCTCTTGTCGCGCGATATCTAACAGAGGCCATAAATACACAAGAGGAGTCTGTTTGACAAAGATGGATCATAACAATCTACAGTCATGCATGCACTCATGACGTCATAATTACTGGCTTCTCCTCCTCCTCTATTTTCTCCTTCTCTTCCTCTTCCCCCGTTTTTCTTCTTATCCTCATTCTCATTCTTCTCGTCTTCTCTTTTTTTTCTTCTTTTACTCCTCCTCGTCCCTCCTTCTCTTCCATCTTCTTCTCCATCCCCCTACCACCTCCTTCTCCTCTTTTTCATCTTTTTCTTCCTCCTCTTCCCCTTCCTCTCCTCCTCTTCTCTCCTCCTCCTCCTCCTCTTACTCCTTACCTCCTCTTCTTCTCCTTCCTCCTCCTACTCCTTGTCCGCATTCTCCTTTTCCTCTTCTTAATCCTCTTCTTCTTCTTCTTACCCCCCTCCTCCTCTTCCTCTTCCTCTTATTATTATTATTATCCTCCTTCTCGTCCTAATCATCATCCTCTTCTTCTTCTCCTCTACCTCCTCCTTCCCCTCCTCCTC